ACTCATGGATGAATGAAGCAGAGAAAAGCTTGACTGTCCAATTGGCCAAAGTGCCCCCAAGGTAGAAGTAATGATCAGGTCAAATAGGGGTTCATCCTTAAGAGCAACAATACTCAAATTTCCCCATGTCCTAGATTTGCCCCCTCATTCATTGAATCTAAATCCACATGTCTCGTGTGTAAGTCCACTTCAACATCATATTTTGGTGAATTTATAAAAGCATGTTGAAGGTTGCCTTCTAGATGGATGATGCATTGCTCCAAAGAGTGAGAAAACATAGGGAGACTATCATGCCTGATTTTTTGTTTTTGTTCTTGAAGTAGTTTATGAAACCTACCTACAAACAAAAAGTAAAAGAAAAATAAACAAAGTCAAAATAATGTTAAGTCATCCCATAATTTTGCATGATTTAATGCTTCACAACTGCTATATGGATTCACACATTGTCGATTTCCAATCCCTAAGGAGCCTCTGATGAAGCAAAATATCTTTGAATGCCTTGAGATTTGCGTAGACTCCAAGGGTTGCATAGAAGACATTTACAAGCAATTCAACATGCATTACAAAGGTGGTCTTTCATTACAAAGTAAAAGCCTAGTACATCAAACTAAGTACATGAACATGGTAGCATTCAAGTCCCTAGTAAAATCTGACTCCTAGATCTTTCAAAAGTACAATTGTTCAATGAGTAGTTGCATTCCTTTCCTTGATGAATCCCTTGAGTGTTGGAGCAACATTAAGTGTGATGTGCTTGAGCTTTTGATCTTCGAGGTTGCTCTTGGTTCTTGTCCTTCTAATCTTGCCCCTTGGACTTGGCAATTGTCCACGATGGAGAAAAATGCTTGTAGTTAAAGATCTCCTCAACCCTCTGTTGGTCAAAGCTTTCTCCATGGATGAATATTTCGAAAGGTGTCTCGACTGACAAAGAATCGCACTTGACCATGTATGAATCCATATTTCAATTGTTGAAGGCAAAGAATCAAACAAGATTATGGGAGTGCAAGAAAAGAAATAAACATGGATGCAAAATGAGAAATAATGGATGCATGAACATGAATATGCTCTAAAGTGATAATGTGTGTGGAGTTGTATCGTAAAACATGCATTTTTGGGAATGCAAGAAAAGAAATAAACATGGATGGGAAATGAGTGATAAAGGATGCAAGAATATAAATATGCTGACAAGTGGTAAGGTGTGTGAAATTGTATCCTAAGACATGAATTTTCTTCATTAAGTATGCCAAGCAAATTTC